GCTGAACTGGAACCTATGGGCCTGGCCCTCAATGTCAACCAATAGTCAGGGTGGGCCTGATACCCAGAGAACATAATCCAGCACAGCTCCTCTTACTGAAAATAAAGTTACACCAGCTTACGTCATTCGATGGGAACTGTCCCAGCGCATACAATCTGGTGTGCCACTCAGACCTTTGATGGGACATAAAAGCCTGCATGGTGTACTCTGATAACAGAGCAGCATGGTTTTGAAGGCCTCTTGCAAGGCTGAGTCAGTGCAGGTAGAAAGGAAACAAGGAAGGGCTCTCTAAGCAAACTGTTTTTGTAACGCTGGCTGCAACAGTGCTACAGCAGCACTCATATTCGGCAAAGGGACTCGGCTAACGGTGGAACCAAGTAAGTATTTGTCATGGCTTAAATTTTGTGGAGGGGGTAATATTTTCACATAATGGTGACTTGTTTTCAGTGCACGAATCCTGATACCCAACTAAAACTGACTATCCTCAGGAACCACCACATTATTCAGAGGGTAGGTAGGGGGTAGGAACTGCAGTTTCAGAAGCTGTTCCTTGCAAGTAACTTAAAATACCAAAGGGATGCCCAAAATACCTGGTATTGGGGAGAGATTCTGCTTTCAGGCTGATGCTTTTAAAGATGCCTAATCCATTTGGATACTGCATGCCTACCTGTTTTCATGGTGCCTTGGCTCCCCAGCTTTTCAGGCAGCTTGAAACTTCAGCCTGGAGTTGTATTTTTGCAAAAAAAGGTTTTAGAAGGGCATAGGATACCAAGGGTGTTTTTTTTTGGGGGGGTGGGGGGGTGGGGGGGTTCTTAAACTCAGCCCTGTTACTCCACTGAGAGCTAAAATTAGTGAAATTTCCATTTTCCTTTTTGCTCGGGGAAGAATCCACTTACCTGAGTGGAAAACAAGAGAGCAGTTCCTTTGAAAGATGTCTGTACGAGCAGGTGGGTGGCTTGGGGATGAGAAAATGCAAATGTTAGTAGCTCAATATGGTTCACTATAGGAAAAGTTTTGCTTTGCTGCATTGAGAAGGCAAAACCTGCACAGGAGGGAAATTCACACACAGAACTGACATTTAGCATGAAAGTCTATGAGCATTTGCCATTCAGATCCTTCAGATCCCCATGAAAATGCCAACTTTCAGGGAAGATCCTGATATTCTCACGTTCGTTGACACCTTATTCCACAAAGTCTCATGGTATCCAACAGGACTATACCCAGACTCAAATGCTATTCTATGGAAGATTACCAGAATCAAGCTCTTGAATTTCAGAAGTGAAGCCCAAAATTGATATATCTGAGGCTATTTTCCAATCAGAATTCATTTGGAAGGGCTTTTCATATTGGGTACTTATTGCAGATGCTCTAATATTTGTGGGGGGAGGGGGAACCCCACAATTTGGTTAGGGGAACTAAATAAGTATTTTGCATATAGCTCCCCACCACGCTGCTTTCTTTTTATTCCTCACCTCTTTTTTTTCTCAGAATTAAAGTTAATGTTTTCTTTCAAAACCACAGGCCACCTTGGTCAAAATATTTCCCATGAATATTTTTTTTTACCTTTCTGAAAATGTTCATTTTTGGAATATTTTCAAATTACAAACTTGTCATTTAAAAAAAAAATGCAATCTTTGTTGAAACGTACATCAAAATGTTTCCATTTCCTTAAAATTGCCCTTTTGGTGAGACATTACTGTAGCCATTTTGATAACATAACTGGCAAACACTTTGATAAGCACCTCAGGAAGAAAACTACATACAGACCTTGGCATGAGTATACTTCCAAATTCAGCAAGAAAGGGAGTAACCTTGAAAAAAATGTTTCTATTTTTTTCAGTCAGTATTATGGAGGCTGAGCAGTGATTACAGGTACTAAAATGCTCACACTCGAGTGGTGTAAGAGCCATCCTATCAAGTAATTCCTAAAACAAAAGCTATTCATTTATATGATTTGTGATAAAGTAATATATTCCTAGAGGGAATGGCTTCCATTTCTGGAGTTTTTGGTTAAACCCGGTAAAGGAGAGCCATGTTCCATTTTTTATATCAGTGGTTTTCAACCTGGAGTCCACTGTCTGCTAGGGGTCCACTGACCATGTCAAAGGGGCCCACAAAAGATGACTATGATCAAGCAAAAGTATGTGAATACCCACACTTACAATTCAAAGGGGTCCACACCTCCATTCAACATTTTTTAGGGGTCCGCACATAAAAATAAGTTGAAAACCACTCTTCTATATTTGATTTAATCCTTTCCATTTCAAAATGTAAAATGGATCTTAACCTCTCCATTGTTTTTGTGCCATTTGACGTCTTCTGAAGTAACTCTTGTAAACAGTCTCTCGAGTTACGTGCTTGGCAATATTGCATTGTGCATGGGGATCAAAAGATTTACTTTTTGGAAGAGGCACCAAGCTTTCCGTTGAGCACAGTAAGTAGCCTCTTCATCACATTTCCAATGGTCGTTCTCTTCACTGGACAAGATTTTCAGTCATGGGCCGGTGAAGCAATGCTGAATTAAATCAGGTGGGGAGAGGGGCTCTGGCTCACTTTTCATACTGCATAAATGCCTGGGTGTGAAGGTCTAAATATCCCCCCCCCAACCATAAGCCATTAAAATTAATTAATTTTCCAGTCTTAAGTGTGGGGAGAAGCAGGATTATACAACTTGCATATGGAAAGTGCTTTGAAAACCCATCCAAAGTGCTAGTTCAACTATTATAATTCTTAATAGAACTGGAAATGTCTCCATAGACTTGGACAGCTCTAGGTTAAGGGATAGTTTTTACTGCTCTTCAATAGAGTGGTCTCTTTTCTTCCGTTGATAATCCCATCGGTTTCAGTGGCATTGTTTGTACAGCAACAAATTAATGCAACAGAGCCGATTCCTTCAGTTTAACTCTCTTTCCTGCCGTTATTGCCATGGTTATGACTTTTGGCCACATCAGAAAAAGATCAGAAGCATGAGAAACTTTCCTTCCCGCACACTGATAAATTCAGAATTTCAGGTGCCAAGTGAATGCGAATACAGAATGTAATCGCTCTTTTGAGTTTCTTCCTTCCCGTGTGTTAAGAGGAATTTGCTATTTTAGCGCCTCCGTGTTATTACTCACAGGAGAGAGAATTCATACAAATAAAACAAAACCTTATCCTGTTAAGAACTAAGGACATAAAAATATTGGCATCATTGCTAATATCCAATCTTGAGATTTGAGCAATTCCAAATTTCCTTGCTCCTTTAGGCCCCTATGCAAATCCCAGCCTTATCTCCCATATTCCCTTCTAGGTTTCTATCCCCTCATTTTCTTTTTCTTCTGCTATCTCTTGCTACTGTTTTCCGGCTGTATGAACAATCATAGTTAGGATCTGTATAAATTATTGGACTAAGCCCAATTATCTTTTACTTCTCTCCCACCTACTGAAGGGCTTAATACAAAATTACAAATGTAACCATCCAGATTCCTTTTTCAGAAAGTGACCCTAAGGAACCATCTGTCCTTCTAATGAAATCGAAAGCGTCATCTGACAACCGAGTCAAAGCTGCGTGTCTAGCGAAGGATTTCTACCCCAAGAACGTTACGTTCCACTTTGGCGTTTCCCATAAAGTTGTATATGAACAAAAGGATCCTGTTCTCTCTGCTAATGGGAAATACAGTGCAATCAAAGTGGTTGAGTTCAACGAAAATGATACGGTGGACTGCTCTGTTCTACACACTGAGAAGACCTTTACTGCAAAGTCGTCACAGACAGGTATGGATTTATGGTCCATAATGTGAATTTTCAAATCATTTCCAGATGCATTTTAGTTGTGGTAGTTAAGGATTTTTCTGCCAGGATTTTTTCTATCTGGACATTTAATGGGTGTGAAAGGCCTGATCTGCAAAAGGCAAGGATTTCTCAGGGTAATGCATCTTCTTTTGGCCCACCTGTATAGCTGCGATAGAGCTGGACAAGTTTTTGAATGCAAGAAATTTTTATTTTAACCAGAACCAGTCAAGCACACATAGTGGGGGGGGGGGAAAAATGCATGTTGCCACTGAAAGATGAAGACAGGTGCCTTGAGGTACATTCAAGAAGAACACTTAAGTGTCCTCTTTCCTTAGCTACTTGCTGCATTTTAAAATAGTTGTGTTTCTGAATTTGTCTCTGTGATTAAAGATTTTGAACAGAACAGTTATATATTGAAAAATGGGTTCTTCAGAGAATGAAAATTTCCCCATTCCCCCCTCAATTTAGTTGTCATGGAAAATATGACATTTTAATTAACATCTTTATGGAACACTCTCTTGAAGCTGCTTAATTAAAATTCTAACAACAGATTTCAAATTCAAAAAATTGAAGTTTCAATGAAGTTGAAAAATGACGTTGAAAATGAAGTTTTTAGCCAATAATGGATTTTAACTATTCAGATGATATTTTGACCATTATTTTAAACCAAAAAATGGTAATTATTAACAAATAAATGTGTGAAGCATGGGTCAGTTTCAAACCCTCAGGCATGAAACCCACTTTAAATGTTTTTTGGGGAGCAAAGTTATCTTTTCACTTTTCATGGAGTTTGAATAGAAAAATATTTGATTGTGGCTCAGGTTTTCACAGAGAAATGTATTTGGATGCTGCATTTCCATTAGTTTCAATGAGAAGCTGGGATCCAAATTTATTGGGCACCATTGAAAACCTAAGCCTTGAGGTATGATTCAGGTCTACATTTTTCCACTGGCAATATAATAAAAATGGTGATGGGATTTGTGGCGAAAATACTTGTTTCAGCCAATGAATAATAGCCAGCTGAACATTTTTGCTCTGATTTTGGTTTCTTAACGACCAAGAAGTTTTTTTGTGACTAGCATCCTCTTTCTTTGATTTTTTCTACTGGGAAGTCAAAGTTTTAGGCTGAAAATATTATTTTTGCAGGTTTTAAATTATTTATTTATTGCCAGAAGTGCTTGGTAAAAAAACAGAACAAAACAGAAAACAGACCAAACCAAATAAAAAACCAACCACCGAAGAAAACTAACCTTTGGCTAAAATCATGTTGTTGTTTTGCTGTTGCTGTTTTGGGTTTTTTCAATGACAAATTAACGTTCTCCATGGAAAACTAAGCCATTTTTTGAACAGCCTCAAAATTAATTTCAGCATGATCTTTAGATTCACTAATGGGGGAAAAATAGATATTCTTATGTTTAGTTTTATCATTTTTAATATTGATACAATAATCAGTCTTTTATCTTTCTACAGCTGGAAGTGTGCCCATGCCCACAACAACGACAAAATTGTGTGATGTTTCAAACGCCACTGCTGAAGGTTTGTTACCAAAACCAAAATAAAATAGAGGGCTTGGGAAATGCTTTGGTTTTGAGGTCATTTGCCAGTGCAATTCCTTGGTTGCAGAATAACCGTTTTAAATATTGACAGTACACCGGTGGTCTGCAGTTCTTCTTTCAGTCCTGTTTGCTACCAACAGTAATTATACTGATGATAAATACAAGATGGACAACTAGGGGTTCCTAATATCAATACGAATAATATCCTGTCCATCTACATTTGCCTAAAAAGCCTTCGTTTCTCTCTGTGCATAATATCCTGATCATCTACATTTGCCTAAAAAGCCTTCGTCTCCCTCTGCGCGCCTTCCACCCAACGTGTATTACACACACAGACAATTGTATAGCTGCATCTTTTATTTTCCACTGACATAAATCATAGAAAAGTAGGGCTGGAAGGAACCCCAGGAGGTCATAGCTAATCCTTCTCCCTGACTAAACCATCCCAGACAAATGTCTGTCTAACCTTCAGGGGTGTAGGTTGTAGCCGTGCTGCTCTAAGGACATATGCAGACAAGGTTCTTTAGGTGAATCTGGTATCTTTTATTAGACCAACTTAAATAGTTGGGAAAAAAAAATGCCCCCAACCCCCCCCCCCCCCCCCACAACTATTTAAGTTGCTCTAATAAAATATATTAGATTCACCCAAAGAACCTTGTCTGCCTATGTCTAACCTTCAAAATTTCCAAGGATGGAGAGTTACAACCCCTCTAGGTGATCTGCTGCAGTGCTTAACCACCCTTGCAGTGACAAAGTTCTTCCTAATATTCAATCTAACTTTCTCTTGCTGTATTTTAAAACCATTATTTCTTTTACCCCCCCTCGTGGCTGCAGAGAATAAATCAATCTCCATCCTCTTTATAACCACCCTGCAGTCTTCTCTTCTCCAAATTAAAGCATTCCAGTTCTTTCAGCTCTACCTTGTGAGTCATGTTTCCAGACCTCTAGCCATTTCTGTTGCTTTTTGATTGACTCTTAAATTATTCAGACAAGGTTCCTTGGGTGAATTTGATATCTTTTATTAGACCAAATTATTAGAATAAATTATTCATGCTTTTTGGTGAGAAATGCAGTTCCTAAAACTGGATACAGCACCCCAGGCAAGGCCTTACTAGGCGCTATCCTGACCATGCTACCATTTTCTTTCTGTTTTGTCCACGGAAGAAAACCCAGAGACAGTGAACATGCTGCCCCTGACTGTGCTGGGCCTGAGATTCCTGTTTGCAAAAAGCATCGCCTTCAACACACTCATGACGATCAAGCTGTTTGTTTTCTGAAGTAGGTAGGTAGGAATTAATTCCCTAGTGAAGTGTGGCTCCCATAGGATGAGGCTTATTGGCTAGGGTTTTCTAAGTACTCTGTGGGTGTTTTGGGGGAGACGACAAAATCCGCTTGGGAGTCTCTGGGAGTTGGACACCTCACTCCCTTGAGTTTCTTTGGAGAGAAAGCATTCATTATTTACTTCTGTGTTGGATCCTTTCTCCCCACCACCTGGAGAGAAAGGGGAGATTTATTTCTTTTTGTCCCAAAAGAATCATTTACATCTAACCAAAGGCATTTTTTTTTAAAGCATCTTAATTATTTAGGAGCTTGCTCTACAGATTGCAAGGTAATGCAGAGGTACCTGAATGAGCCTAGGTGCTGGTAACAGTTTAACCGCAGCAGCCTAGAGTTGAGCACAGATCAATTGATCCTGCTGAGCTCTGTGCTGCCATGGCTAGGCTGCCTCTGGTGCCAGAGCAAGCTCAGGATTTGTCACACTTTGTTGCATGTGGCTGGGCAGATGGATGCCATGTCTCATTTTCAAAAGCCATGGTGGGGACTTTTCTGCATGAGAAAAGGAGTAGCAATGCAGTTTCACTGGCAGAGAGAAAACACGGGGATACAATTTTCATGCCCAAAGGGAACAACAGTTTTTTTGGTTTAGCATAAGCCTAAAGAGGGCTAAGCTAACCTTAAAAAAAAACATTTATACTGGAAGAGGAATGGCCAAGGTTGTGTGTGTGTGTGTGTGGGGGGGGGGGGGGGGAGGGACTTTGCTGGTGCAACCATGCCTTTGTTTTTACTGGTACAATTTTCTCATGGGGACAAACCCTTTGGTCTTTATTAGCCTTGGTCTCATTGACTTTCCAAAGAGACCAATGTTTTGAGCAAGCCACTAGCCTTCTGTGAAAAATCGGAACTGGTTTGTGTCTGAAGTGAAGCACTCAGAAAGGCAGACATTACTTTTTGGGGAGGGAGGGAAAGTCAAGGCAGAGGGTGGGAGTGGGGCTACAAATATGGACTAAGACTCTGCAGAGTCTGACCAGACCTTCTTAGATCCATCACATATTTGGGATCAGAGATCTTAGGTGGCAAAGTTTATTTCTAATAGGGACCTAAATGCTGACCAGAATGTAACAGCCAAGCGTTGTTCTTTGCACAGATCGCAAGGAGGGAAATGGAAGTGGCCTGAAGACAGAAGAGAAGAGGGAGAACATCAGCAGGGGCAGGAGGGGGCATCTCCCTGCTGGTGTAAGTTGGACTTGCTCCATCCTCCAATCAAGGGGGCCAGATTCCAAGTTGGGATCAACTGAGGGTTGGTCTGTGGGTGTCAGTGAGCCTGTTCCACTCAATCCTGCCTGGAGTGATCTCCCTCCTATATTCTTACATGTGTTTTATATGATTATGCATCTCTTTTTGTTTACCTTGACTTTCATCATTATTCCTGTGTTACCCTTGATTTCTCCTGTGCTACAAAATTACATAGAGCTCACCTTTACTTGTTGCTAAGATAGGAATATTTAGAGGGACTGTTTGTTCTTCTTCCCTCATATTACATCCAAACATGTGCACCCCTTGGCCACCTTTGAGATTCTCAGCTTGCTTTTTTAAAAATGATATATATGTATTCAAGATATTTTACTGTTTACAAAAGGTAGGCACAGGCAAAGCATTTCCATTACTTGAGCTTATAAATTAAAGGCAGGTCTTCAGATGGTGCCAAAAGCAAACAACTCCATTAGCTTCTGTAGAGCCGTGCTGATTCACAGCAGCTGAGCACTTAGAGGTCAATTTACTTATATAAATACTGGCAGTTTAGCCATGAAGCTCTGTGCATTCACTTAACTAAGTTCAATCTGATGCCCAAATGTTTGCAGGTATTGCTGAAATAAAGGTTATCGTGCCAAAGGAACGACTAACTCACATTTATTTTATGCTGTACCTTCCACGACTCGGAGTTTATCTGACTAATGGACGAGAGGCTAGGTTTCCACCCAGACACCATGCATTTTACCCCACACCCACCGATTTCCAGTCAACCAAGGGTTTCAACCTGGGTTTCTAGTGCATTAAGCTCATCTTTCTGTGAGCTTTTTTGCAGGTGAAGTGCTACCCAAAATCACGTCTACTTCCAATCAGAGGGGAGGGACTTTGAAAAGCACCTCATGGAGTTGGGAGCAAAAAGTCCATGGACTTCATTGGGAAACTATGCTCTTACACCCCTGTAGCTATAACTCAGCATTGTGCCCCAGCAGTTTTATGAAGCATGGGGCAGAAGAAAGAAAAATCCATCAACAGCGCTGCTGCCTTTTCTTTTTTTTAAATCAAGTAGGGGAAGGGGACTCTATTTCAGAACTTGCCTTTCATTCAGATTTGGGTATTTAAGTCCCAGTTTGATTTTCAAAAGGACTCTCTTAAAAATTCTCTATTTTCAAGGTACAAAAAGGGAAGAGAGGTGCATGCAGAGGCCCAAAGCAAAATAGATGAATATGTCATTTGGATGTAGCAGAGAGAGAGAGAGAGAGAGAGAGATACAGACTTCAGAAGAGAAAACAAACTATTTTTCTCTGTTCCCTGAAACCAGCAAGACGCTGCCAGGAAATAGCTTTTGGTGGTTTGATAATTGATACGGTTGCTACAGCAACCTAGACCAAAGGAAGTTATTCGGTAGTCAGACTCCATACGCACTCCCCTCGCCTCCATCGCTGTCCCCCTCCCCAAGCGGTGTCTGTTACTAGCTGGGACCGCTACGGGCAGGATGCTGCGGTCACCAGCTGACTAAGCCAGGCCGTGCAAAGCACCAGACTCCTGCTTGCTTTCAAAAGCAGTTCTTTGATGCAATGTTTTTCAGATCCTGGGGTGAGCTGCGACTCAGAGCCAAACACCCCAGCATGGTGCTAGAGGATGCTGAGCTGCAGGAAGGGGTCAGGGATGTATTAACTATCATTTATTGTTGTTTTTAAGGTGACCTGGAAAGCTGACAAAGCTCCCAAGGCTTTTTGATCCAGACTGTAAAGATTATAACCTATCAAGAAAACAGAAGTCAATGATTACCATTTCAAGGGAATGGCTTTAGAGTAGCTGCAGTAAATAACTGGAGACATCACAGTATGTGGTTTCATACATGGGAATTGATACCCTACTTGTTTATAACAAAATTGCGACATTGCTCACCAATTATTCTAGATTCTCTACAACCCTTTATATATTTTGTTTAGTATCCCAAATGAGAAACCTAGTGGGACAACATCTCTTCATTTTCTTTCTGAATGCATCTACACATGCAATTAGCATGTAGCAGTAAACACTGGTGCAGTTTGTGCTGGAGTTTATTGCTCCTGGGTGCAGCATTTGCATGTGTGCCCAGGACCACAGTACGTTGAGGTGGGACGGAGCAACCCCAGCTAGCCTGCCAGCTTGATGCTGCCCTGACCCATCTCAACATGCGGCTGAGGGACTGCCTGGGGCACAAGGGTCCCAGTGTAGGGCTTGCCAGCAGGTAGCCCCCACATTGTAGGACCCTCATGCCCATGCCAGCTCCATCACAGTCTACACATGTGTTTTGCTACACAAAACTACTCCATTGTAGGATAGTACTTGTGTTGGGCACTGGGCAGTACTATCTTACAGCAGATTTAATTAGTTTACTGCAGCCTAATAGCACTGCACATGTAGACAGTGATGCTTTAGTGGAGCTAATTAGTCTACTCCACAGAAAGCCATCTTGTGTAGACATGCCCCCTGTCTTGTGGTATGTCCAAGAACATGGCCATGTAGTTAGCAGAGGCATAAAAAAAGGTCAGCAAGTAGCGACCTTCCAAAGCAGAGCTGAGCAGAAGTGCAAAGCCTTCTGCGGACACAGTTTCTGCTCACTTAGCTTGGCCTAAGTACAGGGAAGGCTCTAGAGATGTCCAAATGATTAAAAGATGGAGAGTTGCTTCACAAAGGAATAAGGGGACAGGGATGAATCATATGATCCTGGAGGTCTGTTCTAGTTCTGTGCTCCTAAACACACACACACACACACACACACACACACACTCTCAACCCTTATTTTAAGGAGAGCCCCCATCTTGGACCCAGCATTTCTAAGGAAATAGAGGATTCCAGGATGAGGATGCTTGTGGTGGGTCACTTTGATTTCATGGCTATATGGTACAAAAGGATGGATACATAAAGGATAAAGCTCATCTTTGCAAGATTCAAGGGACTAGCCTAATATTAGGAAGCACACTCCCACCCAGAGCTCACCCCCTATCCCTACCAGGGCACGGTGTATTTCCTTCCACCTGTTCTTCTTTAATGCAAATGTGCAGCAGCCTGGAGATGCGGATGCTACGTCCTCAGAAGAAAAATAAAAACAGATGACATTTCCTTCCCTGTACGGAGGGAGGAAGGGGGGGGATGAGAACGAATGCAAGCCCCATGCAACTGATATTACTCCCAGCACCTAATGGACATCTGGTAGGGGCACCGATGACAGCAGGAAAAAGAGCACAACAGGGAAGTAGGTGACCAGTAGGGGGAACTCTCTTCTCAGTGTTAGGCTTTATCTCAGTACCTTTATACACAGCTAAGGGAGATGGGAAGGAAAGAGGGGTGGATTGGGTGCGTGTGGGGCAAGAGACAATTTGGACACATCCCAAGAGTCTCATCCAACAAAGACATGTGTGGAGCCAATGGCATCTCATAGCAGCGCTTTCTGACCTTGCAGTTTATGCATTTGTAATGTTGTACCAAATCAGGGCAGTGGTAAAAGCTTCAGAATACAAAGGGGGGAAGAAATGTCCCTTGCAGGAAGTTTTTGTACAGCTGGGTAGCACAGCTGCATCGTTGTGGGACTAAGTGCACAGAGGTAGAGAGCAGAGTCCTCCACTCTTACTGCAGATACAACCAGGTGGAAGGTTTTCTCCGATGTTTGGCGTTCCACCGTAAAACGTTCTTTGGCAAAATTGGCATTGTGGGATCGGGAGTTATCTCTGTACAGAATGTACTGCAGCGAGTTGTCGGAGAGCTGACGATACCAATATAAATCAGGATTTCCATAACTCGTAGCGTAGCTGCAAAACAGTTTTGCCTGGCTCCCCGCTGTTGCCAGAAGAACGGATGGTGACTGCGTTACGTGATCGCACAGCAAGTCTTTGTCTGTGAATGCCAAGGAAAAAACATGACCAAAGAAGGCAACTTATATTGCATCACTGCCATTTCCATCTTCAAGCAAGGAGCGGAGAAATGAGAAACATGAACGTCTGCATTCACTACTGCTCATAGGAAAGAAAGGCAGAGAAGAACAAACACGCTTTAGAAGATAGAAAAAAGCAAGTGAGAAGCAGCATTACTTACAAAATGATGCTAGCAAAAGTTTCGTTAACACAAGCTTTTGAATAGCTTTTGCAGCCATTGCTCAGAACAGGCGCTACAAGACAATGGACTTCCAACAAATCTGAATGCTTTTTAAAAAGGCAGAGGATAGGGGAGGGGTTGGTTACAAAGGAAGGTGCAAGGTACATGTGACTAGGTCTGAACTACATCAGAGCCTACAGACTTGAGGCAGCAGAAGGATACCCTGGAGCGGCCTCACTGCGACACAAGAGGGATGGCAGGATATACTCAGGGTATCTTGGGTATAAAGTGGCACAGGGAGGACATGCCCACATAGTGTACACACAGACATCAATGAATTGGGCAGCTATGACTAGGCAAATTATGCACTAGCTCCGAGCAGGAAATATGCTCAGATCCAGACAAGGTGCTTTGGGTAAATCCGATATCTTTTATTAGACCAACTAGAAGAATGGGAAAAATTCTTTGCAAGCTTTTGGAAGCTGAAGGGTGTTTGTACCTGAAAACTTGCAAACAACCCGGGACTCAAATGAGTCCAGCCAGTTAAGTATCCAGCCTCTTCTTAAAGATCCCCAGGGTAGGGGCCAGCACCACCTCCCTTGGAAGTTGGTTCCAGCTCCTAGCCGCCCTAACTGTGAAGTAGTTTTTTCGGATGTCCAATCTGTACCTCCTCTCCATCAACTTGTGCCCATTACTCCTTGTTGTGCCAGCGGGGGCTAGGGGAAACAGCGTCTCCCCCAAACCCTTCTGGTTCCCCCTAGTGAGTTTATAGACGGTCACCAGGTCCCCATTTTATCTTTATAAAAGATAAAAATATCTTTTATTAGACCAACTAGAAGAATGGGAAAAATTCTTTGCAAGCTTTTGGAAGCTGAAGGGTGTTTGTACCTGAAAACTTGCAAAGAAGATTTTTTTCCCCACTATTTACCCGGTCTAATAAATATATTGGATTTACCCTAAAGAACCTTGGTAGAGAAGAAAAAGTTTTCTTCTTGCCGTGAGTGTAATTGCTCCGTGAAAGACCACACTTGCCCTCTGCTGGGGAAAAAAAAAAGTTTTCCTCTCCCAAACCCCTATTCAAATTCAGGTTGAATATATTCACATGAACTTTGCTGTTCACACCATAACCTAAGTTTAGTAAACTAGTCCTTCTACATTTGCCCCATACCTGACAAGTGTTTCTCTGTCCAAAAGCCAAGCTCTTTCTGCTACGAAGACCTAGAGGGTCAAGAGGGTGGGTACAGACCTACTCCACTTTTTGAAATAGCATTTTCAGGAAGGATCTGGGAGTATGACGGATCCCAAGCTTGACATGAGTCTTTAATGTCAGGCTATCATTAAAAACAACAATATTTTCCCACCTCAGTTGTAGACACTTGAAATAATTGCCTTGGGAAACTGGGGCTTCCCTTATGGATGGGATTCAATAAGAGATTGAAGAGTCATTTATCAGGGATGGTTCAGGAACAGCAAATAAATACTGCATCTACGTAGGGGTTTAGATGAGAGAAGTCTAGGATATTTCTTTCAATTCTGCAATTCCAACTAGCATACATTGTTGGTCCTCTGAAGATTACCAGACCCTTGTGAATTAAATCAGTCAAGCATTTAGGATGAGGTATATTAAAAGAAAAATGGCAGAAGACCAAAACCCCCCTGACATTCTCAGCTTTGGAGTTAGTTAATACCAGGAGGAAAAGTTTATTTTTTCTATTTGTGCAGGTCCTTTGTGGAAGGCCCCATCCTTAGTGCCCGATTCCTGCCGATTTTAGTCCAAGCCAAGTGTATAAATCTTGCTAGTAATCTAGGCTCACAACATTAGTGTAATAACATTAGTTACTACATTCATTCAGAACTTCATTCACAACATTAGTGCAGTTCTGCTCTTCCCTAGTAACAGCAGGGCAGAGTCAACAGGGGTAGAAGAAATACAGGTAGCAGAGCAAATATATAAAGATTTAAGTTGAGAGGTCCAGAAGAGATGAAGAGTTTGAGGTGTCAAAGTGCCATTCAATATGGGCACCAAACAGCCTTCACTACAATATTGTACATCTATATGGGAAAGTCAGTCCAGGGACTTTGGTGGCCCATAGAGGCACACAGCACAGATGTGATGATGGAAACAGGATCCATGGCTTTGTATGAACTCAGGCTGCAAAGATACATGCTTGTGCTTACCTTGCTAGCATTTAAAAGAAGTGGGTGGGAGAAACCTCTGATCCTGATGACCCTGGAGCAGAGGAATGTGCACTGGTAACCAGACAGGCCAACCCAAGCGTGACTAAAGCAACATGGGATAGGAATGGGAGATCAAAGTGGAACAGTCAGCTATTCTGGAATAAATGGACGTCTACACAAACTGTGCACTGATATAATTCCAGATAAAACAGATTTACATCAGACAGAAGGCAATTTAATTATTCCAGTTCCTGGCCTAAAATAAGCTGATGTAAGATCGGTTTGCTAGTGAACACAGAGAGCTGTTTCTACCAGGGAAGAAAGCAAAGGGAACATTAAATCAGTGCACCTTTGTACTCAAAAGCATTAGAAACAAAGAAAATAATTCAGGGACATGCATGAAACAGGGGTTAGACTGACAGATTTTCACAACCTGCTGTGCTTTCAGAAAAATCTGGTAGCAAAACCGAAGAACCTTCTTTTGTCATATAGCGGGAGATGCAAGCGAACTGAAATCCAGTAACACCAAGATCCTTTTTCTTTTACTACCATTACTTTGCAGAGGACAGCAGTTGCACAGAATTAGGATTTTTGGCTTTGTTTTAAAATTAGGCATTAACTCTTTGTCCCGCCATCTTTTCAGCTGTTAATCTAAATTCTCTTTTAGTAATTTCTCCATGTTATGTTAAATCAGTAATTAAGTAGTTTGCTGGAGGACATCATCTCCTACTGAACAGCTCATAGATGTGTAAGAAACAGCTAGAGGGAAATCAAAAAAGCCAACACTAGAGGGCAGCAAGACATTAATTAAATTAAAAGTAAAAGGCAAAAGATTTATGCGATCCGAACTACTACTAGGTTATCAATCAATAGGTAGCTCTTATCAGACTCTTCCTGTCAGGTGTTACATTTTGTAGGAAAGAAAATTGTTTTCCCATAGGTAATTTCACCTTCTGGATCTGGATGAAACAGCAGAATACTGAAAATTTATGTTTAACGGAAAGTACGAAGAAAATGCTGACTTGGGAATGCTAAAAGCATTTTGTTTCAATGTTTCGGACAAGAAATAAAACACTCTTAAAAAACACGAAAATGATTGTGTTTCAATTTAATATTTTTTTTCGCTTTCAGGTCTTAAGGAAAAAAGATAACTTCCATCAGAAAAAAGAACTGAGTTTGATGAAAGTTGCTTTGCCATTGTAAAATGCAGGTCTTTAGAAAAAGACTTTGACATGATTTATTAGGGCATCCTAATACAAACTGGGTGCTCTCAATTGAAAGCATCACTGAGCGTGCAGAAATCTACCCTCAGATTAGGGTCTTGCATAGGATGAGACAGCCCCTTCTCTAAGCAGCTCACATTATAGACAGGCTGACAAAGAAAGGATGATTACTGCTGTTTGGCACATGTAGAAATTACAGAGACACACTGATGCCAGGATACTCAGGCCCCAGATCCCATCCATAATTATAACCTCTTTCAAAACGTCTCGGAGCAAGATATTTGCTATTTACTATTTCTTTTTCGGACATTGCCACTTTATGAGTCACTAATGTTACATGGTTCTTAAAATAATTTTTTTGTCCGTCCTCTTTTCAAGAGTCCAGCCACAAGTTACATTTGCTGCATCTGGAGGGGATATTAAGAAGCCTGGAGATGCTCTACAAATTTCCTGTAAAGGATCTGAATTCAGAGGAAACAGTTTTAGAGATCAATGGATGAGCTGGTTCCAACATACTCCAAGTAATGGGTGGAGTGGGTGGCTGCAATAAGCTACTGGGTAGGGGGTGCTAAAAATTATGCCAGTTCAGTAAGAGGGAAATTTATCATCTTCAGAGATAATGCCCAGAATAAGTTGTATTTGCAACTGAAGAACCTGAAGCCTGAAGACACTGGTTGTTACTATTACTTTGATGCACAGCATGGCAAAGCCATGCTGAACTTGTGCAAGAACCTCAGCTAGTGGCCTTTAGGACCGGAGTCAAAGCTGCCAAAAGGACAGATGCAAAGTTCACATGTAAAATGAACTGGGTCACTTCCAAAAGGCCTTTCCACTTTGGGAATGAATTCTTGTCACAGGTACACTCAGGAGGCACCAGTCACCGAGCCAAGGGGATGCAGGGGTGCCCCCAGCATGCTTCACAGCAGACCCAGAAGTGGACCAGAAGTGCTTCTGGTCCAATTCCTGGTCCGCTGCCAAGCACGCTGGGGACCCCCGCCCCCCACACTCCTGTGGGACGCTCCATGTACCCCAGCATTCATGAGCCGCCTGCTACCTAGAGGTATGTAGAACAAACATTTAAAGATGTGTCTATGTCCAAATTGCCAAATCTTTCCAAATTTCTCCAAATCTATTTGGAGAGATTAAAGGGTCCTCTGATTTGATTTGGCTTTGGAGATTCGGCCACCGAATTGGGTTGAATCTCCGCTGAATCGAATCAGGGACCGAAACTTCGCACAGCCATAACGAGCAATACAAACCACACCCAGAACAGAACAACTAAGTCCGAGAAGCTGTTTCCATGCCCTTTCAAGAGGTTTGTGTACAGCTCTGTGGTATTGTGGGGTTACAAGTTACCTTTAAAGGAGCCAAAGTTTCTGTGATAGCAAGTAAGTTATTGATTTTTAAAGCTTTGGAAAGAGCATTTTTATAAACTTGGGATTTATGAAAAAGTCGTAGAAGATTTTCAGAGGATACCTAGGAGGAGATAGTCAAAATATGCCTGTGTAGCATCAGGAGCGATACTGTCTGCTTGTGTAGTGGTAGTAGCCATTTGTTGTAATATTATATTTGGATATACATACAACAGGTGAACGTTGGACCTTGGGAACATAAAATATCAACCTCCGTCTTACCTCTGGTGACAGATACTCCTCCTTTTCAGGAAAAAA